GTTACCTACAGCACACAGATTTGTAACAGTGGGATTTAAAGGGTTCTATGTCCCACTTCCCATCATCTCCACCAGCAACATAAAGTTTGGCAGGACAATTCCAAAAATTAGCAAAAACTGGAATATACTGGTGAGGCAGGGGTGTCCTAAATTCATTGAAACAGAGAGTTGTAAATTACAGAAAGCTAAGTTTTGTACCAAAACCTGCTTTGAGTATAGGGGAGAAGCAACCCTGCCCACAAATTGCCCTTACAAAACCACACACACATCAGCTGGGTAAGTTAATAGCAGTGTAAGAGTGTACATGGTAACTACTCAAATAATTCCAAATAGTCTTAGATGTCAATTTTAAACATGCACTATTATCCGGGGTAGCTTTGGGTGAGAAAGGAGAGAAGGTAAAAACCAAAGAGAAATTGATCAAATTTAGGAAGGAAATTTTTGACTATTGAGAAGATTTATTGATACTGAAGTACCCAGGTCTGAGGCTTTATCCAGGTTCATATATATTGAAATGAGCATCCAACACATTTGCAGGTGGAGCAATGCATCCACTGAGAACAGAGCTGCAGAGGGTCGCATCTCTGGGACTCCACAGGGAGGCTCACAGCTGACCCCTGCTCTCTGTGTATGCACACCTTTAGTTGCACTAAATGCTACATTTTTACTGTCTTAAATTAACTTTTTGAATGTTGATTTCCTCTCCAGGTGGAGAGACAGTCTCTCTACAAAAAATTCAAGCAATAACTTTCATCCAGACCCCTGAGAGCACTGAGACTTTTCTCAAGCACAGGAGGCTCTCGAGGCAAGCCCAAGCTCAGCTCTTCACAGGTCCTTGGCAAGAGCTCAGTAACCCATCTTCGCCACCACAGTGCTGCCTTGAAGGAAAACACACCTGAGAGACCAGTCATCCCCTCTAAATGTGATTCAGCGGCTCCACCTCAAAAATATGTTAGAATGGAGATGAGGGGAAAGAAGAGAAAGAAAGGAAAATGTATTGGAAATTTACTGTAACACATCTACATTAATATCACTTGTACACATGAAAGTGTAATCCACTTTCATGCTCAGGGAAAGCTCTAGAAATTTTGTTTAAGAGTGGATGCTCAAAGAGAAAAAGAAATTTATACCCTGCTCTCTACAATCCTGGTGTGCCACTGGGAACCTGGGAAGCTTTTCCTCTCTTAGTACAACTTCTGACAAACAATTCTATTATGTTTTGGGCTCAAAAACACACACCTGACACTCCCAGCTCATTTTAATCAAAGCTCTGTCTATCTTAGCCATGGCCTTGTTGAGCAGAAACAAGGTTTTTCACCTAATTGTGCTGGAGAAAATGATGTAAGTAGGTTTTCACCACCAATTAATGGCAGGGAAGCCACTTTGCCCTACTGTGTCACCTTCCCCTCTTTCTGTCATTCATTGGCTGATGTTGGAGAGGCTTGCAATCAGTAACTTGAGGTGTCAAGAGCACTTCAACAAATCCTGGAGTTACACATTGCCACTGCAAAGCCACGAGAGCTGTGTCCTACCATGGCCATTAGATGCAGGTGTGTGTTGGCAGGACAAGAATTCTTCTGGCAGCAGAGTTACCAAAAGCTCCTTAGTCCTGAAGGGCACATTAATTAAACAAAGATATTTGTGCTTCCTTTTTCTTACACTATACCTGGAATCCAAATCATACAGTTTTATCACAAATGTACTAAGAGAAATGTACTGATATTCTTAAGGCTCTGTTTAATTTTCAAAGTACATTTCATTTTATTTTTAATATTTCCCAAAAACATCCGTAAAATCCAGTTCTCCAATGCTCAGCAAAAGAAGGCAGATAAAGGAAACCTTTTTTATTCCTTTTAACGAATCTGGGGGGGGGCTGACATACATTGCCTGAATGCTTGAAGATGACAATGATTAATGAGAAAGGGAGGACAAATAAATCATAAGTCTTGTATTTTATAAATAAATGATAAAGTTTTGAAGAACTTTTCTTTTCTTCATTTCAGCAACAAGATTAATTTCCAGCTCCTTGTGGAGGACAGTCCCCCTTGAGTTGAGTAGTGATTCTTTTTCTGCAGGGAAGATGGAACAGAAGGAAGAAGAGGAAGAAAGGAGAAAGAAGGAGAGAGTGTAATAGATTTCAGGTTTAATTCCCAAAAAAATTTTGTTAACCTTGACAAAAAAGGATTGAGAAGGTGCTATCAGTGAATTTCTGTTCTGCTCCCCTTATTGAGATATTTCCCTGAATTATTAAAAGCCCTGTGGACACAATAAATCTGACAAAGAGGCCAAAGCAGCTCGCCCCAACAGTAGTTTGGGGTTATGGACAAGGGACATGTCCCACACCAGGGACTGCACTGCAGAGGTGTCCCCAGAGCCATGACCCAACCTGCTTCATCCCCCTGCACAGTGGCACAGGGGGAGTCCTGAGGGCTTGTAGCCACCCTGACCCAAAAAATGGCACACAAGGGGAGCCTGTCCAGCTGGGACATGGACCCCTGACCCAAAAATGGCACACGAGGGGAGCCTGTCCAGCTGGGACATGGACACCCCAGAGCTGCCCCTGTGCTGCCACACCGAGCCCAGCACCATCACCTTGGGCTGCCACTGCAGGCACAGAGCTGGGTATGAGACTAGAGCACCTAAAGAAACCAGCCAGAGCAGCCTTACACCCCTCTATTGTCACAGCACTCCACTATTTCTAAAAATAAAAGACTGGGAGAACCACTTTGTTTCTGTTTCTAAATTTCAGAGGTTTTCTTGTGAACAGCTCTCCTTTCTCCCGCTCCAGGGCTGTACAGGAGAAATATGGAAGCAGGGCACAGGGTGGCACTGGTGAGAAAAGGCTCCTGCTGTCATCTTGGTGGAAACCAGACAGGTTTAGAGGGGTTATTAGCACCTAAAATACTACAACTAAAAGCCAACATGTGTTTCACCTGGAGGTCCCTTCAAGGTTCGTGCAGCCACCTTGGAGCTGCAATCAGGCACTCTGCTCAAACAGAGCTACAGCTGACCTTGACAGAGGAGGTGTCCAAGTGCACAGAGCTCCTGCTGGCCTGTGGCCATGGTCGCGGGTGCAACTGGAAGAAGGTCACTCACAATCCCCTCCAGGAAACTGCTGCAAGGGCAGCTCCACAGCCACCTTTGCTGCTGCACCTCCCAGCAGGTGCTGTATCTTCAACAACAATTTTATTTTCCATTTCTGAATGGCTCCAACCACTCTTGTAAGCTGAGACCAGTTTGCCAGTCTGTGTCTTCAGTCTGTTGTTTCCTGGCTTTCTCCCTCATTTTTCAGTGTCTTTTATTCCTTCTTGCAGTTTAAGTGTCCTATATGTAGCAATTTATATATTGGTCAGCAAAGCATCGAGCAGTTTCCCCTTTTCTCCACTGTTTCCTTATTTATACAGTGGCCTTTCCATGGTTGCAATGTGATTTATATATCTCTTTTTTTAAACTTCCAATATTGTTTAAACAAGATGCAAAATTATTGGCAAACAGATGCTGCAATACTGACTTTCATAGAATCACAGAACATTCTGAGTTGGAAGGGATCCACAGGGATCAGGAAAGTCCAACTCTTAAAACTGCACAGAACAGCCCAAGGGTCACACCAAGTGCCTGAGATTGTCCAAATGCTTCTTGAGCTCTGTCAGGCTCGGTGCTGTGACCACTGCCCTGGGGAGCTGTTCCAGTGCCCAGCCACACTCTGGGTGAAAAACCATCTCCTAATATCCAAATAAAACCTTCCCTGACATATGTTCATGCCATTCCCTCAGGTAATTCATCCTTTACTCTCTTTCTTGAAAAGGAAGCAGCGAGAAAAACACAGGAATAATTTTGCACCTGGAAAACAGGGTTGCCCAGGGGATTTTCTAAAGATTTTCCATGCCTCCCTTGCAATTCCTGGTGGCTCCTCTGCTTCTTCCCAAAAATCCTGTTCTAGTTTGTGGTGTGAAGCCATGTCTGTGACCCAGCCTTACCATGGATACCCTGGCAAGTGTTTGGATATGACATTAGCTAGAACCAAGGATTTTGTGTTTCTGACGTCTCTCCCTGTGATTCCTATTTCCTCTCTTTATTTTGCCTTGTTTTCTCTATTTCTTAGACACGGGTCTAGACTGAAATTGGGAAGAGCTCCACACTACAAAAGAACTGCCACAATATGGAGGAGTCCAGTGTGAGATTTAGATTTAGGAAGCTCTAAATAGTCAAATATTTATTTAAATATTTGAATGAATTTGAATATATTATCCAAATATTCAAATATTCTAGGAAGATCTGTCATATTAAAAAATAAAACCAAAAAGTGTCTGTACTATAAACACTTTCACAAAGAACAAATAGTAAGCACTAAACACGAACTTGAACAGTAAAGATGAAACAAGAGCTAATATCTGGAAACTAGAGCCAGGCAAATCTGAATTGGAAACTATATGTACATTTTTAAACTTCAAGTGTGATTAATCACTGCAACTTACTGAAGTCTTTCCAAAAGACATGCTTGAGTTAGACTCAATGTCTTGGGCTCCCCAGAAAAATAATTGGATAAAATTCTACTTTCACCTGATGATCAGAATATCCCCTCTGGTCCTAAGTGACAATGTCTGCATTAGTTGAGTCAGAACAGAGCTTTCACCAAGACAACTTCAACATTTTGTTGTTCTATTAAACCATTGGGGTGTTTGCCTGCCTATTCTGCCAGCTTCACGTTGACTTTTTTAAGATCTAGGTTCTTATGGCAGGCAGTTTAACTTCTTTCACAAAGCTGTCCAAATTGTGTAGCTGTCCTTAGGGCTATGAATACTGCTCTAAGTCAGAGGAAAAAAAAGTTTTGATTAAGATTCTGAACTTCCAGCCTTATGGCATGAAGGAAAACCATGTGACTTTTATACTGCACGTTGGTCATTAGGAAAAGTGTTTCCAGTTCATTCTGCAAGCAATCTCCAGCAAAATTGTGTAGCTGCTCAATATAATTTTGCAAAAATCACTGACACAGACATTTCTTTATATTTCATGACATTTTATTGGTCCTGTTACACTGGGACTTACTTCTCTCTACAGTGCCCAGGAGGCAGTTTTCAGTCAGTAATGGCCATTTTCTTGGTCCCTCCAGCTACATCAAATACAATTCCACTTTTATTTCCCATTTCTGTACAAGCAGGACAGTTTACAACATGGCTGAAACGAATCTAGCTGCTTTGCTCCACTTTCAATGTTTAGCAAGAAAATCTTTTCCCTAAAGCAGTCCTTATCTATTATGGACATGTTTAATCTGTCAACATATGTCTTTTTTTGAGAGGTCAACACACGTCTTTTGTCCTTAAAATAGTCCCCGAAGGAAGGGGGATTCTTAGATGAACAGATATCTTCCAGTGGATAAGAAGCTCTGTTACTATTTCTGAAAAAAAAGAAAAAAAAAAACCAATGTAAGACTCCATGCATGTTGTGTTCTCAGATAGTGAGATACTTTGGGTTTTCCATTGAGCTTAAAAACCTCTAAAACCTGACCATGTTTTAAGGTTTGATGCAGGAGGCAGACACTCAGCAGTCATTAGTCTTCTGCTAATTACCAGATTGTGAAGGAATTCAGATGTGCTCAGTAAAGATGGAGGAGAAATCTCTGATCCCTCCTACTGTCACATCATTTTGCTGATTTTGGTGAAGCTGCTTTTAATTAATTAAGTGAAAGGAGCCTCTTTAAGGTTCCCACTATAAAATCTCACTTGATTCCTCATAAATAATGTCTCTAGAGCTCATTCATAGTAATAAAAATATATAGTGTGCTGATTAAAACTGTTGTAATTTATAACCATTAAAACCTCAATTTAAAGACATATTAAGGGGCAAAATTCTTTGACCATGACACTCTAGTTTGCATTTCATTACAAACTAAAAATTCAGGAGCTGAGATTACCACGTACTTGCAAAGAACAATCAAACTCAATGACATGATTTTCCTATCCTTCTATGTTGGGAGCAAACTTTTCCCTGAAGAAAAAAAAAAAAAAAAACCAAAACAAAAACAAAAACAAAAACAAAAACAAAGAAAAAGGAAAAAAAAAAGGCAGTAACACTATTTTTCATAGATTTGCAAAGAGATTGTCAAGGCGAGGTCCAGCCAGGAGAGCAAATAATCCACCCCAGTGTCCATGATGATGACGATTGAGATGGTCACCACAGTAATTTTTAAAACGAAGGTTCACTTTTCTGGTTCATGTCAAGAGTCTGAAAGAGAAGGAAATTGCAAACTCCACAACCAGCCCCACGCCTGGTCCTTCACCCCATCAAGCTCTTCCTGTCCTTCTAATGATAATGAGCACAGGGATGCCCAACTCTTTGTAAGAGGGAACCTGATGTCTTAGAGCAACCACCCTTTTGCAATGTCTCTTTCAAAGCAATCCCTTTGCTTAGTCTCAGACTAAGGAGCATTTCACAGGTTTTTGCCTGTTCTGGCAGTTCATGAGCAGCCCACAGCATGCAGGAGCAAAACCCCTGCATTAAAAATACCAGAGCCAAAAGTGGTATTTCACATATTCTGGGCTGAGTTGGCCAAATGTCTGAATAGCAAAAGCAGCACAAAATTCCATGCAAGGTTCCGTGCCTGCTTCTCCCCTGGCATAATTCAGTTTATTATATCATTTTATTTAACTGACAGACCTTGAACTGTGCCTTTCATGCTTTCCATGCACTCAGTTTAAGGATGTTTTTTCAGTCAGAATGACCCTGGGTTGGAACAAGCAATGCAGAGAAAGAACAGAAGTAGGATTTCAGAGCAAGAATTTTGACAACACAGGACTCCCATGCTGCTGCCTGTAGCAGAGCAAAATTACATTTTTTCTGTACAAAAGCAGAACCCTCAAAAACACAAAGCTGACAAGGACAGAAAACCATTTTTAATGCATTCAGCAGCTGTAAACAGTATTTATCTGCTAAGTTTAACAATTAACTACTTCTTTCCCATTTGTTCAAAGGAAGACAAATGCAGAAACTGGAAGTGCAGCCAGACTGTTCCATCAGAGTGCGCCTGATGCAGCCAGTGCTGTAAATGCACTCCACATTAGCTGAGAGCTCATCTCGGGAAGGCCACTAAAAGCAGCAGTCAGCTCTCATAAAACAAAACACAACAAAAGGCCCCACCAGATTTTACCTTATTACAGAACATTCTTGGTGAGGCACACTCTGAGCTCCTGAACATTAAGGCTTTTGCTGCACAAGGCAATTTCCACCCCAGAGCCCCTTATTGTAATCCTACAGCCAGGGGACACCTTGTGCACAGCACCACGTTCACTGGACTGAAATAAAGCCATCCTCCTACCCAACACCATCAGTCACTTCTTCATTTCCTGTGGGCAAGGTGGTTTCACCTTGACCTGCCTTCAACCACCTGAGTCAGAGCCCTCTTCCTGCTTCTAAGGCTTGGATGAGTGTGCTTGGTGTGAGTTTCACTACCCACAAAGTTATTGGCTTCATGTTTTATAGTGAGATGGAAATTAAACTTTTTTCCATGCCAGTAACAGTTCCTGTCAGCACAAGGCCATGCTATCCATTTCTCTCCTGTGCACCTGCCCTTGTAAACTCTCTACGGAACAGTTCATGCCGATGATATATCAGGCTTTATTCCCAAAAAAGCACAGAACTGAAAGAAATCATTGCATGGTCAATGTAGTGGAGAGGGGAGGTTTGTAAAATCCAATTATAATTACAGAGAGAAACATTTCTATTGAAGATTTTTACTCCTGATGTCAGTCAAGAGTGATGAGATTTGAATAAAGAGGGCTCCATCAGATTAAAATCACTTAGTGCAGTGATGTCTGTGCCAGATTTGAGGCTGTAGCAGAAGATCCTCCCTCACCAGCACCCACTTACACCTCTGAGCAATGCTGTGCCATTCATCCTCTGCACCACTGGGCAGAGGTGCAGGGGAACTGAAACCCCTGAAACAACCCCTGCAACTAAACAGAAATCTCCAAAGTCTGCAGAAGCCTGACATTGTGTTTGGCCTGAGCATGCTCCCAGACCAAGATAAACTTCCAGTCTTTGGGATGAAGTGGAATATGAATTTTAAGGTGTGAAGACAAGGATCCTGTCCTTCCCAAATGTCCCCTCTCCCCTGCATGCTCAGTCCTGTGGAACACCAGTCACCAACTCCTTAGGTACCTTTTCGTGGTGAACATTTTCCTGCAGTGCTGGTGTTCTGAACATACAAACAAAATCCTCAGATCCAGGGGATGGGGGATCTGAGGATTTTAACCTAAGCTGTTGAAGTTGACTTACTCTGCAGATGTCACTGGGAACTATTCATGTGTTTTGGAATCAAGCCTGTGATAAAAGGCTGTGCTGGATAAGGGACTGGTGTTTTCAGGATGAAGCCTGAAATTTGCCAGATTTTTACTGTTGCAAATAAACAATGTCAACAGCAAGAAGGGGTTTTCAAACTATTTTACTGGGAATTGACTTAAAATAGATTTATTCAGCAGGACTGAGAAAGCACTGCATCACTAGCCATTTGGGACAATACTGCCTCACAAACACATATGGGATGATATTGAAATTCCAGTTATTCAAGCCTGAAATTTCAGTCCAAACAGCCAGTACCATTTTGGGCTCAGTTAGAATTTTCTTTATTAGTTTTTAATTTCAAATTAACTGTCATCATAAAGCAGGAACACAGTTGCTGTAGATTTCCCTGGGGATCCTTGCCTTTAGCCTGCTACGCTCAAAAAGAAGAGAGTACAGGACTTTTCACTGCATGTGTGGGAACAGGCAGGAAGCAGAATTACAAATCACACCTGGGCAATCTTTAGCCCCAGGTCTCCCAAATGATGCATCAAAAACTGTTGTGAAAGCAACCCACTTGCCTTTGAGAAATTGCTGAGCTGTTAGTGCTGTGGGCTGCATGCTGTGGGCTGCTCATGTTAGTGCTGTTAGGGCAGATGAAAGCAGGCAAAAATTCTTATGACCTATGCCCCCATTTATATCCCTTTTTCTTTCACCAGTGTCTTTATTTATTTTTTGCAGTTATCTGTTTTCTTTGAGGGTGAAGGGACAACAGTTATTATTTGCTGTCTTCTACATTTGAGATGTTTTCATGGATCCAGGATAATTGCTTCCTTTCAGAGTGCTAAGGTGAAAACTGCGTAACAATTAATGTAAAAGGTGAGGTTTGATTGAGTTTCCAGTGTCACAATATTGTTCTCAATAATATTGACAATGCTGAAGGCCATAATTCATTAATACCAGGGAATTTAATATCAGAGTCAAGGAGCTAGCTTATAGCTATCACACCTCTGCTGGGAAATGATACTGAAAGGAGCTTTATTGCAGAAGATTTGAGACTTACAGAGGCAGTGGAAGAGGTAAATGCAGCTTCTAGCAAAGCTTTGCTGCTGCATAGAAGACAATTTTGTGCATAAGTACCAGATAGGAGCCATGGGGACGTGGATGTAGTTTCATGTTACCAGGCAGGAAGCATGGCAGTAAACAATAAATCTCTTTTCCATTTCTCCATCTTCTAGCAGCAGCAATTGAAGGGGCAGTTGATAAAGACTCAAGTTTCTTCCTAGTAGAAATTAATCTTCTAATTCTTCTGGGTTGTCTTCTCATCAAGAAAATACTGATTAAAGAGGTTGGGAAAAGAGCACAAAAGAGGAGATCAATCAGCATTGATAAGAAACTAAAGGTCAATATGACAAAGTGTAGATATGCCTCTCCTAAAAATGATGATATGATCGTTCAGCCAACATCATTCCCCAATTTCTGGGCTCTCCATGGTGTTTCACTGAGCTAGCACAGGGCCCATGGACTGAATTTGACAGCTCCCCTACTCAAGAACATTTGCACCTACCTTCCAGGCTTCTAAGCACAGAGGTGCCTATTTTTCAAAAAAATTTTTTGCCTCTTTTTGTTCATGAAGGGGCTAGAGTGTGGCGTTTAACAAAACCATATCTAGTAGCCTTTTTTTTCTCCTCTGTGATATTTTTATGCTTCTTAATCAAGCAAGGAAAAAAAACCAACATAGTTCTAGTGGATCCAAAACACAAATCATTATTTTAAATTTACAGAGTAAGGTCTGCCTTGAAATGAACATCCAAGCCAATTCCTGTATTTTTAAAGCTCCCCAAGTCGCAGGCTTAAAATGAAGCAGTTCTCAGTAGAATGGCTTTTACTGCCTTTTCAAATAACAGCCTAACCGTAAGTATAGATCTTCTGGATAGTCTCAGTGTAAAAGATCAATTGCAGAACAGGCAGCTTGATGTTTGCAATCTGTCTTTTAGTAAACATTTCTATTTCTCCTCCTCAGTTGGAAAATTCCTGCTGGGTTCTGAACAGCAGAGACCTTGAGGAGCTTTCATGTTGGTAAATTATAACAGACGTAACTTTTCCCTTATTTTTTTCTTTTCCCACTGATAAGGATGTTTTGGCAAAATCATCCCTAGCCTTTCTTCCTAAATGCATTCCTCAGCCAGCTTAAAAAGTTACTTGAGTTCCAAAAGTCAATACTGCTATAAAAAGAGCATGGAAATGTAACACCCCTTTTAGTGGTGATTGGAAAGAAATACCGTGTGTGACTGAGGTCTCTAGGTTATCCAGCTTAAAATACCTGATGATGTTTTGGAGCACTTTAGCCATTAAATTCAGTTTACTGGTACTGCAGACATCACTTTATATAAAACACTTCAGACTCCACTTTAAAGGCAGTCCAGCTTTTCGCCCTCATTCTTCCCATTGGAAGATTGTTTAGAAATTTGATTCTTTTAAATAGCTAGGAACATTCTAAAATATTCTCTCAGTGCATTCATAGACAATACATACTCATTTGCTTTTGGGCCAATGTTATTCTTAAGCTTAAACGTATTTTTTCTTTCCCTGACCTTCATCCCTCTGATTCATGTATTCCTCAGTCCTGTGAAATCCAGTGTTATTTAAATATGATGTAGCCTAGAAGAAGAATTCTAAGGTCAGGCAGTCCCTGGGATTCATAACTCCTACAACTGCCAGAAAAAGAACTTCTTATATCAGCTATACACTTCTTTTGTGTGTGTGTGTGTGTGTGAGAGAGAGACCTGGGTACACACACTGCGAGCTCATAATTATTCAACACTCAGCTGATAATATCCAGGCACTCATCTCCTCAATCACTTCCAGCTGATTTATAGATTTATTTTGTTGTTAGGCTGAATCCCGTGATACATGTTACCACAGGCTGCAGTTAAGGTGATGATTAATATTCTCTTGTATTGCAACAGCCCCTCTAAACTTCAGCACTTGATCAGAAATGGGAGAATTTGCTCCATGGGATCAATACCCAACAGTACCACTGACCATGTAGTGCACAATCTTCTTCAGAACCAGAATTGCACTGCTCCAGAGACTCTCCATACTTGCCAGATGTACTCACTCAGTCCAGAGCAAAAGGAATGTTCTGCAATCCCAAACCAGAGCAAATTGTGACTGGGTCACCATGAGTCCAATCCTTCTGAAGTGTCATCAGAATAACCAGAATGAATAATGAGTTAAATCAGGAAAGCCAAATTTCAGGGAGACTAAACTCTGAAAAATGTAATGTTTCCTTACTTGAGGGTAAGCATGATACAGGTGTGATCCCACAGGTACACCCTGCAAAGTCCAACCAGCTGCTCCATCCCACAGCACAGATCCTGCTCTGGCAAGAGTTCTCATCAGCTCAAACAGAACATCTCAGTATGTCCACGACCCACCAAAAGTCCTCAGGTGATGCTGAGAGGTCTTTCCTTCTGATGGAAAATACTAAAAAAAAAATCTAGGATCTTCCCTAGATTGTTCCATTCTCCTGGATGAACAAGTGTTGAAGATGTGACAATTGTCTTTTAGTACAGAGAGATAAGTTTAGCAGTTGGGATGAAAGTCAGAAATATGGTTTGTAAGGACAAAGTAAAAATAAAATTAACATATTTTTCTTGGAAAACATGTCATTATTCCTCCCTATTTAAATTCCCAACAGTATTTGAAAAATTTTTACTCATGAGAAATGAAGCAGACCCAGGAAATTTCCTCTAGAAAAGTAAACATTCCTTTTCCAATAATATTTCATAGTGGAGAAGGATCAACCTTACTTAGTGCATACCAATTCTCTAAAGCAACAAAACTCTGAAAGCAGCACACTGAAATCACATAAAATAAATAATAACCTGTGATTTCTTGCCTGAGATTGTTCTGCTGCTTTCCCCAGTCTAGCCCACAAAGAAGCAGCTATTTGATTTCTGTGTTATACACTGCCTGTTGTTTGTCAGCAGGAAAAATTCAGAGTATTAAAAATGCTTACTGCTTTGAGAGCAATAATAAAATGTGTGCTTGCTATCACTGTTTTTTCCTGCAGAGAATGAGAGAAATATAGAGGTGAGATTCTATGTTGTTATATATAAAATAGTCTTTGAAGAAGTGCCTGGGGAGTTATATTGTATGGGTATTAATGTGTCTTATGCAGCAAAATCCCTTCTCACTACTTATAAAACATAAAAGATATGAAACCTAGAATCTTGATCATAAAACACAAATTAAATCAACACAGCCAACTTCAGAGAGCACGAATATATTTCACTTCATTAGAAAATGGTAAGCCACACTGGCATTTTGACAGAAATGAAGCCTGCTTGCTAGAACACATTTTTTTTGCAGCATTTCCCCCTTATATCGTTATCAGCATGACAAGGTCTCCCCAGTACCACGGTTCTCACACCAGCAGGATTCTCTTTTATTTCCTTCAGGGATGGTGGGAAGCTGGCCATGATTTCTCTGCATCTCCAATGGAGCTTTGATAATGCATCAAAATAAAAGCTGTTCTATTCTGGAATATTTCTCAACCTAGGGAGAGAAACAGGACCAAGGTCCGAAGGGTAGGTAAGGCAACTGGAAGAGAAATTGTTGGCTCAAGGTGATGCAATGTTTCAGCTTTTAACTGGTGAGAAATCCATGTTTTCCAAGCCTGACTCAGATGGCCTGGCTGTTAGACCAGGAGTCAGGAGCTATGGGTGGACCGGGCACAGAGTCACTGTACAGTGGGAATGGCTCCATCCTGAGACACAGCCAGGAGTCCCAGGGAAGCCAGCAGCCCCTGAGTGCCGGTGGGACATGACACTGGGCCACCCAGAGGCAGCTTGTTCCCATGTGGGACAAACCCCCTATCTCCCAAACCTCTGTCAGCCCACTGAACTTCTGGTTAAGAAAATTAAAATACACTTTGGCAAGTGCTGCTTGAAACCTTTCTGCACTAGACCATGCTCAGCTCCAAGTCAACACAGCTGAAGGGCCAGCAAGGGGACCGTGCAGCCAGAAGGAAATCCTCTGAAAGGGCTCTAAGCTGACTTCCAGAAAGCTTCTGAAGTCTGTGCTCCTATTCTCCACCCCTGCCTCCTGCACTTCTCCCAGATGCACAGCTACAGAGGTGATCTCTCAGGTACAGAGTTGCCACTCTGAAGTGTCCACTCTCAGGCACCTGACATGCCACTGTTCCTTTGGGTCCACCTCATTTCTTACCTAAGCAATTGCTGGCCTGAAGCACACTGTGCAGTTTGGTTTCAACATCATATGTTCTTCACTGTGCACTTTTATTTTTTATGTTCCCACCAATGCATTTTCACTAGATAAGTGCTTGTTAAATGGTAAATCAATACCCCAGTGCTCTAAAACCAAAGTGAGAGCACTGGCCACACTACACCTACAATGCATTAAAGCCACTGTAACAAGTTTAATCACTTGGCATCACTTTACCTGCTCCTTTGTGAAATGACTGCAAAACCCTACCAAACAGGTTCATTTCATTTTCCCCTAGTGCCCAGGTGAATATGGGCAGTGGCCATCTCTAAAAATAGGAACGTGGGAGGCTGAAGTTCAATTCCAGGCTAAGAAGACCAGATATGAAAATTACTCGGGTCCTGAATGTTTTCCCTGGCACATTCTTGCATGCTCAGTGGCACAGCAGTTGTCTTTCTTTCATAAGATGCAAAATAATGTTTTGCTATTACATATGAAACACTTTAGATATGTTTATGTAGCCATAAATAACAGGAAATCTTAATCTGAAAGGGTCTTTTAAAACCCTCTACATAGCAAACCAGAATTTTACCTTATTTTTTTTTTCTTTTTAAAAGTTTGATGCATTTCCCCTTTGCTTACTGCCCCTGAAGCAAGAATGGACAGCTGTAAAAGGGAGCCCTTCTCACCATGACGTTCTCCTCACCTTCTGCTTCCTAGCAGGAGCTTAGAATTTATTCTAAAGATGCCATTTAAAGTTGCTTTCCTTGTATGTGCCTGATTCCTGCACAGGAACCAAAGCAAAGTCTTCAGCCACACACTTCACACATCCTCGAGAACAAACCAAGTTGTGAGAAGTTGCTTAGTCACAAGTTGAAGCTATTTATGAAAAGCTTACCAGGGTAAATGACCTTAGAGGAACATCAGCCAGCACCTACCTGTAAGAAACAAGGACAGGTCCAGGGCAGGAGGGACATTTTACCCTGTTTGGTGGTAACTGACAGGTGTAATCAGCACACAATTGCTCTCTGAAACTTCCCACCCTAGAAAGTAAATCTAACAGGCCACAGGGGTTGCCAATATTTTCTTTGGTGATCTGATCAAATGCTGCCTGTCTTGAAGTTCTGTAAAGCCTCAGCCTGATGGAGTGAGTGTCAGCTTAGCTGATTTCATTTTGGTGCCACTGGCTGGAGAGATTTGCAGGAGCTGCAGCCACAGGCTCTGTCAAATACATCTTCAAGTGGCATGAAAAAGGTGTTTGCCATTTCACAGCTTTGATTCATAAATTCCTCATGCTGTCCTTGGCTTTTATGTCAACAGGATAAAGAAGGCTTTCCTCTCTTGAAACTCTGACTGCCCAGGGGTCCCATTCCCAGCCCCACACTCCTGTACTTTCCTTTGAGTGTGGAGGGAAGTGGGAAGAGTGACCTCTGCCATGTTCACCAGCCTAGCTGGGTTAAACACTCACCTGTCCAGTGCAGGCAGGGATATGAAATGCAAGGAGGTCCCATCCCCAGGGATTGTTTCCTTAGTGGCATCACGAGATTCAGAGCTGCCAGCTCCCAGACAGACATTCCTCCTCCACTTTTCACCACGCGCTGCTGCAGCAAGGCAAGTGCTTCTGGGAACAGGCTGGAGACTGGATCCCAGCTGAAAGTAGCCCTTCAAAAATAGCAATTTTAAAACTGAATCATTTTTCAAATCACACTCTAAAATTACTTCCCTTCCTGGCAAGCTCCCTGCAGCTCATTGGTACACAGGCAAGCATGGACTTGGAGGATGCAGATTTCTCAGGAGCTGCACCAATCCCCTTCTGCAGGTTTCTGCATCCATCCATCCGTCTGTCCATCCCTCCCCCTGCACTGTGAAGCTCAGCCACAGAATACAGGGGCCACATCTCCAACCTTAACAGAGATTTACAAAGAGCTTTTCCTCTTTCCTCCAAATTCTTGTCAAGAGAAATGGCAGGTGACAGAACTGCCTAACTGGCCTTTCAGTCCTTTCAAATACTGAGCTGTTCACTTGGAGGGCTGAAGGATGCTGATCTCTCCTGAAAGGCCAGGCCCTGGTTAGGCTGAACAAGGTGAGATCCAAGGAAAATCTGGTAACTAGTTTGTTATGTATGTTATGAATTCAGCACTGGGCTGTGTATTCAGACAATACCCTTTGCAGAGTCTCAGAAATATTACAGAGCTGCATCTTCCTGAGCAGTAGAATAGTAGCTTTCCATTATTAAAATGTATTAAAAATCCCTTGCATGCCAAACCACTGACTGAGATTTCCCTGCATAAAGCAATAACAGAAAATAAATTACCAAAACTAATGCAGGAAGAGCATAAGCCACCAGAGTGGAAGGTTTTCCCATTAAATGGGAGATTTCATACCAAAAATTTTGAGGAAAATAAGTCATGAGAACACAGAGCTACCTGCACAAGATGCAGGGTACCTGTGACTTCCATTGGCAGCAGAGGCATGAGAGAATAAATAAATAAATAAATTAATTAATTAATGTGCTCAGGATGCTCAGAGCACTAGACAGAATCAGGCCTTCTGAAACTGGCTATTCATCGTATTTAAACTGAATGTAATTGGCAGCACTAATTAGACCATTCTCAGTAAGAGCAGTGAAAGTGAGAAAGTAGTAGTTAGATCACTGAGCCTCAGGAAAAATCAAAACAAAAGGCCATTGCATATTCATAAATTAGCAGGAAGAATGAAGGAATCTCTGATTTAGACAGAAATTGCTGCCTGTTTCTCTTAGACCTGTGGAAATATTCTCCCAGTAAAACCATGTCTTTGGTTAACAACTGTGTTTCCCTACAGTTTAGTGTCCCCTAGCAGTTCGACCTAGCAAACCAAAACCTGCACTGGCTGATTCCTTCATCTCACCCTCACTTGATTTTGAGTTTGGGAGGACAAGAAATGGTTCCCAAAGGATCCTCAAGTTTATCTCATCAGCTTTTTTGGATCTGCTCCCATGAAAGCCAGAGTGCTACTGGCAGAGCAGTGGGGGCTTACAGAGCCAAGCAACCTGGAAACAGGTTCATGCCAAGACTCCACAAGGACCACCTGCTAATCAACACATAAAAAGTCTTGGTTTTCAACTAAATTGTCTGCAACAGGCAATTCATGGTTTCAAGACCACTAATAAGCCTGCCTGTTTTCTCTCTCCCCTCCCCAAAAGTTCACCCTGACACAGAGAGAAGACATGAGAACACAATAGGCTATTTTGGTCATGGGACTGGCCTTCTGCTTCAAAACCTAAAAAGTGCCTGGGGAGGGTGAGGAGACCCTATTAACATCTGAGGTTGCATGGAAACACACACTCAGCCCCAAATACTTTGTACTTAGTATACTTTTCACTGTCTCAATCTGTCATCACACTAAGTCAGGTATTGGGAAGAGCCCTCTATCCTACAGTATCCAGATTTCTAACTTAAAAATTGGGCATATTCATTTCTGTTATGCACTGTGACTAAAACCCTTGCTCACAATGCTACCAAGGCTCTGATTGCATAGACTACCAATTGCCTCATCCATTTTTTTTAATTACAAGCAACTGTTACCTGACAGGAGGTAAAAGTGAAGAAGAGCACTGCGCCGCTTGTCAAGCACGCAGGCTCATCATAAGGCCACTCACTGGAAAATAATTTCCTTGCTACATGTTACAGACAAAAATTAATTTATACAGCCCATACTGGGCTGCATGGAGAGCAGTACAAAACCATCTGTACATTAACTCCAGCTGCAGGAGTAGTTACAAATTTATTTGCCTTTGGTCACTCTTGAGGTAGAAAATATGGCCAGCTACTGCAAACAAGCTGTACATTTCAGGTCAGGGACTGTTATGGCATGTTTACCTTCAGATTGTATGAGACACTTCCAAATAACCACTTGAGACATTTCCATGCCAATAAAGTGGTAAAAAGCTCCTGAATGATGTAGTTGGTATTTTTCTTTGGCAAATATTTGCTACAAAGTCAGTGGGGACATGTATGAGTGAAGTTTGTACTGAAACTGAGAACACAAATGTGGAAGTCTTGGTATCCCTGAAGTTGAAAGAAGTAGTCTTGCTAATTTGCTTGTGAGTCATGCAGTCAAACCATGGCTGATAATTTAGAGGATTTTACCCATTTAAAAAAAAAGAAAGCCCACAAAAAAAAAAAAACCAAAAAAAAACAAAAAAAAACCAAAAAAACCAAAACCCCAAAAGTATTCCCTTGAAACGAATAACAGTAGCTGGTCTTTTTCAGGTTTAGAATACCTTTTTAAACTTTATTATTTGATAAAGGGATGTGATGGTCAGCACAACAATAGTACAACCTATTTGCAGACAATGGTTTAATTACACATTTAATGAGCCCATCTCGTTTCTTTGCACGAGCTTAACTTCACACAGCCAAGATAATAATGCAAACACCACATTTTGGTTATTAAAATAATTGCTTTCACAAACACTGACCTCATGGCTGGTGCCATGCATACAATACTCCCACAGCTCAGGGATCTAATTTTAGCATAAAGCCCAATTTACAGTTGACCATCAGCTTTTAAAAAAATTCTAGGCAAACAGTTTTAAAGATGTTTTCACCAAATCCCCCAAGATTTCATTCAAATATTCAAGAAAATTTAGAAAAACATCCTTCATTTTACCATATAACAGCCTTTAAGAGTGTTACCTAAGCAGGGGCGCAGCAGCAGCTTCAGGATGTTTCCTCAAACTCTTGTATCTGGATCAGAGCAACCAAATCCATGACCTTCCTTTAAGCCACAGCTCTGGAAGATTTTTTTATCTAGCTAATGGAGTTTTTACAGGAGCCAGTTACTTTGCAAAGGACCAAACATTTTCAGTGGGACTTTAATGAAAAAAACCAATATTTCCCCCCTAGCTTTATAACCAAAAGGACTTTAAGTATTTCTGCAAAATGGTGACAAATTTTCAAGACTCCAAGTAAAAAAATCTTAGCGAAATGAGTTGTCAAAACATTTTGAAAATCTGTCAACAGCTCGAATTCTTAGAAACCATGATTGGGTGATGCTGGAAATACAATCTTGTCCATGCTGAAGCAGCTAAACCACATCCCTTGCTGCTTCAGCTGAGCTTTTTTCTTCATGGAAAGTTACTGGTAGGCTTTCATACCTATGAGGTGATTCTTCAAGCTAATCAGCATCCCACCAGCATCATCCTTTCCCAGGCAGGACATCTCCAGAGAGGCCAACATAGACTCCAGAGCCAGTCAGCTTCTACTGCTTGGAAGCTGTCCTGTCACCCAAGGAAATGGCCAACTTTTCACTCCCCATCTAGGAGAAACCATCCCCCACGAGGGGACAATGCATGGCATGGTGAGGTAGGAATTACACAAACTTTGCTAACTGGCTTCAAACTAAAAACATCAGGGGCCTCTCAGGTAGGTGAAATTGCTGAGGACTCCAGAAAACAGAACCCTCATTTTATAATGTTCCCAAAAGGAAAGTAAAAAACAGCAACAAAAACAATCAAACAAACAAAACAAAAGCCAAAAGAAAATCCAAAACCAAAATAAAAAATCAAACCAAAAAAAAAAAAAAACCGAAAACAAAATTTCCCCTGCAAACACAACAGCACCAGGAATCTAATTATACCCATCTGCAGCAACAAAATCCCTGCAAATTCAGGTAAATAAGCTTAGTTTTACATCATCTGACACAGTGGATTGCATGTAATCATTCCTGGACTACCACAGTGGAAATTATTTCCAACAGTAGTCATTGGCACTAAATGGCTCATTTCTGACCTATTAAGCCCTTGACCATCCATGGGAGACTTTCCATTCATTTCAATGGTCTTTTGATTAGGTCTGATGCACTTTCCCTGTGTTTTTCTGCCTCTTGTGTCATTGAGATCTGCTACTGCTTTCCCCAGCTATTGGGTTTGTGATTTATTGGTTTAATTTTTTTTTTCATTTTATTCAGTTTTAGTATTTATAATGGGATACAACTGACGCTTGGAAATAGGAGCCACTCTTTTTCTTAAGGGTTGCATGTGGTATTGGCCACCCTGAGCACAACAGGAGATGGGAAATCTTCTTTTATACTTCTAGACACTTTCACCTCTACTGAGCAAAATGCTTTAGCACAAAAGCAATAATGGCAAAACCCCAGAATTTAGACATGTCAGTGGCTATCAAAAGATTATACTTTGATTAGAGTACTCTGTTCCTAGGAAGCATAGGTGTAAATCCAAGCCATTTTCTTCACCTGACAAGTATGAACAGTCTGTTAGAAAGGGAGGAAGTTCTCCTGCTATGGATGTGGCCAAGAGAGAACTGCCAATAATGTGAAATCTCATGGCAAAGCAAAATCTCTCAGATCCAAAATAAGAAATAGATGTGTAAAGCTATGGAGAGGTTCTAGTGATGGCAAATAGCCCTTTGCTAAAAGACATCATGCAGCTACCAATAGGCAGGAAATACTTTCCTGTAGACAAAAAAAAAAAAAAAAAAAAAAAAAAAAAAGGAAAAAACAAAAACCAGAAAAAGTAGAACCAATAGAACCTAGGATATAAAAAAAAAATTATAAACCAGGGCACAAGCTCCCATCCCAGTGAGACTAACGTTGGCAACTGTAAATTGTGGAGAGCATTTCCTCCTCCAAGCTCAGATCTTTCCTACACGTGTTATCAACCCCTACACATATGTTTGCAGAACTGGCATCACTCCCATTCTCTTTGCAATACTTTTATCAGTGAAAATTCTCATTTATTTTAAAAATACGAATGTAATTATTTACTTCAAATCTCCTAGAAAAGGACTGCAGCTCTTACTGCAGCATGACAGATAGGAAAGGCTACAATGTTTGTTCCAAGGCAAACAGCAAAGACAGAATCCAACATCTTATGGGGGAAAAAATCACTTTTCAGACACTAGCTAAGATTAAATGGGCATTTGGCACCCAACCCAAAATATATCATTTTCTTAGGTCTACCTCTGTGAAGTCAGATCAGAAACAACAAATCACTCATCTAGAAATGGCTAAATTTAAGTAATTACCGCTCCACCGGCCACCACCAAGTCCCTCAAAAACACCCTCTTGGCAGCGGGCGTAGAGGAAAGCTTTAGAAGCCAAACCACCCCCGCAGCGGCCAAGGCGCATCCCACACACGGCGAGGGACCAGCGCGTTCTGCGCGTCCCCCGCGCCCGGCCGGTGCCGCGGTGGGAGCGGAGAAGTGAAGTGGGGAGAAGTGGGGAGCGGCGCGCAGGGCAGGGCAGGGCTGGGCAGGGGGCTGGGCAGGGCAGGGCAGGGCTGGGCTGGGCAGCGCAGGGCAGGGCAGGGCTGGGCTGGGCAGGGCAGGGCAGGGCAGGGCAGGGCAGGGCGGCTCCGTCCCGCCCCATCCCTCCCCCGGCCGGGCGCGGCAGCCCCCCGGGGGCGCGGCAGGGGCGGCTCCAGCGGCCCGGCCGGGGCGGGCGGCGGCAGCGGGGCTGCGGGAGCCTCCCGCCGGGGATGCGGCTCCCCGGGGACGCGCCGCACGCTCCCGCCCTCCGCCCGCCGTCGACCGGGCGCTGCGCGGAGCCTCCGCCTCCGCCTCCCCGCGGCGTCTCCCCCGCGGCGGGGCCGCCGCCGCCGCCGCCCCGCATGGCCAGAGCGAGCCGGCCGGTGCGCGCGCCCAGCCCGCGCCGCAGCTGCCCGCGGCCCGGGGCCGAGGGCGGGCGGGCGAGGCCAACGGCCCCGGGGCGCCGCCGTCGCCAGGCGGGCGGGCAGCCCCGCCGGGGGATGACTCAGAGCCGCGGCCCTGCAGCGAAGCCGCCGCCGCCGCGCCGGGCTCCGCGCGGCGCCGCCCCATGCCCGCGCCCCCCGCCGGGGGCCGCCCGCCGCCCGCCGCGCCCGCCGCGCCGCGCACCGGATGATGCCCCCGCGGGGGGCGGTGGGCTCCTGCCGCCGGCGGCGCCTGGCGCCCCTCAACGAGGACAACGGGCGGTTCCTGCTGCTGGCCGCCCTCATCGCGGCGTACCTGAGCGCCGGCGCCACCGTCTTCTCGGCCCTCGAGAGCCCGTCGGAGGCGGCGGCGCAGCTGCGCTGGAACCGGACCCTCCACAACTTCAGCCGCATCTTCAACATCAGCCTGCCGGAGCTGCGCGCCTTCCTGCGGAGCTACGAGGCGGCCATGGCCGCGGGCATCCGGGTCGACGCCCTGCGGCCCCGCTGGGACTTCCCCGGCGCCTTCTACTTCGTGGGCACCGTCGTCTCCACCATAGGTGAGCGCCGCCCCGACGGCCCCGCGGAGCGGACCCGCCCGTCCGGGGGATGCCGCGGCCGCAGCCCCGTCGTTATAGCGACCAAAGTTTGGGGAGAGGCGCCGCCGCGTTGCTGTGGCAACCGGGGCTTCGCAGCGCGTCCGGGTCGCTCTGTCCCCGCTGCCCTCCCGTCCCGGGAGTCGCGGTCCCACCGCCCCTCCAACCCCCCGCTCCCGCTGCACGGAGCCGGGCACCGGCGCTGCTCCCGCCGCGCAGCGCTCCGGCTCCCGCGGGTTCGCAGGAGCGCCGACCGTCGCGGCGGCGGGAGCCCCGTCCCTCCCCAGCAAACTTCTGCTGCCGGCGGCTGGGCTTCTTCATTCTGCCGGCCCGGAGGGGCGAACGGGGCTGGCGGCTGCCCGTGTAGCGCTGCCTGCGCCGGGATGCGCCCGCCGGGCGAATGGCTCGGTACCGGGAGAGGCGGCGCGGGGGCCGGCAGTAGCGGGCTGATGGAGATGCAGAACGAGAGGGCTGAACGAGAGCCAGGCTTTCGCCGCGCCTGGCCGCTCAACTCGGTAGCGGCTTTAACTGCTGGTAAAGTTAGGATGTGTATGTGTGAAAGACGCAAGGCACACGAAGTCGCGTGTCTTCCAGAGGTAGCACAATACAGTGTTCTCGGTGTATCGCTGCAGCCGGCTGCAGTTTTTCCTATCCCATAGGTGTTTAGGAAGAGCAGCACTTTGTAAAACAAATGATGAGTTTTGGTGGGAGGATTTTTTTTTTTTTAACTCCGTGGCTATCTGCTGCTCTTGGACATGCTTGAAAAACCTTGTCCCTGAATACAACATCTAAGCGGTCTTAACTTTCCCGGTTTTTAAGTTCTCTAAGAAGCTAGGTGTGCTCTGAGCAGAAATGTCGGGTTTTTTCCCTTTGTTGTAGAGGAAGAAGCTCGCAGCTCATTATTGCATTTAGATTCATTAGGTATGGAAAATGTTTTATCAATAATGACTAATCCGTATAATGGAGTCGTGATGGTTTGTACGGCAGTGTTGTCAGGTATTGTTACTTTTTGCATTGAAGAATCCAGTTAACTTTTGCTTTGCAATTACATTTGGTACCCCGGTCATTAAAAAACAGTTTTAATTAAGCATTAAGCTTTCTTCATCACAGGAACATATATTTTAAAGAGATAATTTTGACTGATCAGAATGAGTCAACAAAAGAAGCCAATGTTTTAACAAACCCACTCTTTCATTACACCTGCTGTGAGAAACAGAAATCTTCAGGTGATGTGTAAACACATTGCTTCCCTGCCAACTCTGGCTTCTCCTCTCTGTGGTTATTGCAATGTAAAATGTTTCCTCTTACTTTGCATTTGTTTCCATCTCCACTTCATTGCCCCAGCTGCAGTCATTTGTACTGAGCAGAGGGACTGAGGAACTCGGCAGCGGATTTTGCCGGGTCCTGAGAGGTCTAAATGGCAGAACCAGGAGTTGTATTCTCATATTCCTGTAGCACCAACCAAGGGTGGCTCTTTCTCCTTACAGTCAGTAATGTCACATCTCAATGCAGGGTGGGGGCTGAAGACTAGGTTTTTTTGATTTTTTTTTTTGTGATGTGCAACAAAGGCTGGATTCTGACAAGTGTTCCCCAAGTTCTCTTCTCTTGGAATACTGCGGCTACTACCTAGCAGTGCTTACTCCTGGATTGCTTGGAGTACTTGGTGTGAGTTCAGAGAGCTGTAGAGTAAGGCTTTGCTCTGAGTGAGGAGATGCAGGCTGAGTTGTGCCTGTGGGCACAGCAAAAGCCGTGGCAGAGCTGCTGTGTTGGGGGTGCCAAAATGCCCAGCCTGGCAGGAGCAGTGTCTGCCCGAGTCCCAGCATCCCGAGGCTGCTGTGCTCCATCCGGGCATGGCTTTTACCAGTTACGTGTACAGCTCCTGCAGATGAAGAGGAACTGCTGCCCCCCACCTCAGTGTTTCTCTTCGTGTGCCTCTTCAAGCTGCTGCAGCTCGTTGAGGCAAAACCCACAAAGAGCTCAGCTGCAGCGGGTTTCTTCCACTACACAGTGGTATTTGGTTATTTTTGGCAGTTCCGCCCAGCAAAAGCAAAAAACCCCAATGAATTAAGTAGTTGTTCCACTAAAACACAACGCTGTGCTCTTAGTCAAATGTGCACAAAGCTGACTGGCTCATGGTCCCAACATGGGAGAAACCAAATGGCAGGGCAGCAAGGTATTGCCTGGGTGAGCAGTTCCAAAGCCATTCTTTTCAAGGTCCAATTTTTTCCCTCCCAGCCAGCTCATTTAGGTACCTGCCCACCTGGACTACCTTTGATTCCACTGTCAGCTCACACACCACGTTATCCTGGCTCTGAGCAATTTTATTTGCTTTCATATCATGCTTAATTGACAAGAATGCTGTTTTTACCCAGCCTTGCCAGGAACTACCAGACATGCAGAGTCAAAACAGCTTTCCTTCCTCAACAGCTTCATCAGTTACGTGTGTCAAAGCAACTTTATTGCTCCAGCTAAACACACAACTATTCTAGCGAGGTGGTGGAAAGCTTCCTTACTCACTGCCTAACAAACAGCCACTCAGTGTCTCTCAAGGGTAGATCACCCACAGGTTACTCAGCTTCTCATCTCTAGAGGATTCCAACTCGCAGGAACCATGCTATGTCTCTTCAAGCCCTTGCTCTGTTCTCAACAGTTTTAATAAAACTACTAAATCACATGTAAGCGTTGGAATACAGTCATCCAGGGACAGGGCTGCAAGTCCTCCTGGAGTTTGTGTGAGCTGAGCTGGGAAAAACTCCAGTTCTTCATCCTTCTGTGAACACAAGGGTTTGGAGTAGCCATGCTAGGAGAGAACTGTTCCATCCATGCTCCTTGAGCAGGCCCTTTGCAGAGCCAAGCAGCTCCCCTCTCTTGGGTGTCTCCTTGGCTGCAGTTCTACACTTCCCCAAATCCTCAGGGAAACAATCAAACAGTCTGGGTGAGAAACATGTTAATGGGGTCTTTAAGAAGTGAGAGTTGAAATTCTAATTTTAAAGCATTTTCCTGAAGAGTTCACTGAGTGTGTGGCTTACCGTCCATGAAACACCCTCTTGATAGCACTCTGGGCATTCAGTTTTTATTACTGTATTGTTTGTGCTTAAATAATGAAATTTTGAGTCTGTTTTCCTTAGACACGTCAGGATTTTCAGAGCTATGTAAGAAAATCCTTCAGTCTGATTTTTGATTGCTTGCTATTAGACTACACCATCTATTATTCAGTCATTATTTTGCACTCCAAAAGGTACTGGGTTTCTAGGCAATTATTATTATTGTTGTTATTATTATTATTATTATTATTATTATTATTATTATTATTATTATTATTATTATTATTATTATTATATGATTTCTTTAAAGAGCAGCTAGGTGAAATTTATTCTTGATTCTTTGGTCTAACTGACTGTAAACTTTCATTTTCATTTGAGTTTTTTCCTTCCCTCCCCAAATGCAAACCACCCATAGTACCCAGCACTTTGTTAAAGACTGAAAGCAAAAGTATAACTCAGACCAGATTTATTCCTGGTAAAATGTTACAGATGCAGGCATAATCAGTCCTAGCTTTCCCCATATTCTGGTAGCAGAGATTTATTCTGCCTAGCACACCAGGAGCTCTGGAATGCCTGAAGATCTGGATTTCTGACTCAGTACATGAGTCTAGACTTTATACCCAGATTTTTTTTCCTCTCCTGAGGGTTAGAATAAATCTTAGGTGCCCATATAGTAAAACATTTTGAAACATAGACCCATTTAAATTAGATTCTAAGCTTCTTATGTGTAAGTACATGTTTAAAAAATCAAGTGATAGAATTGATTTATAGAAATCCATACCAGGCATTAAAATATGAGGTCAAGTGAAGTACACTGATATATAAAAGTGATTTTGTCTATATAATATATTTTATAGCACCTTTACTGTGGGCAGATGATTCTGGGATGGAACATGTCTGGGTTATGTGTGCTTGAGAAGTGCCCCTGGAAAGAAAAGAAGCAGGGGTCTTCTCTCTGTACAGCTGTGCAGGGGTTACAGTTGGGGACACAGTGTGTAGGAGTGAGCAGGACTATTCATACTTGCCTTATCTCTGAGGTATCCTGTTAAATGACTCAATATTCCTGTGGACTGACAACTCCACGCAAATGTATGGGGGCATCCTCTGCTCTTAAGTAAGAGACAAACAGTGAGCTGTTTTCTGCCAGCTCACTGGATCTGGCAGCTGTTTTCTCCTTGCTTAGGGTGTCAGCTGGGTTAGACCTTCTTCTGTCTGGCTCCTCTGTAGGGACCGGCATACCCAGCACAGCATTTCTGCTTGTGCTCCACAACCTAAGCACCACAACCACTCACTTCTAAAATATCCTCTGGCTCTCTATCATAGTCTTGTGAGAACATCTGTCGTCCAGATGTTCTGGAGGTGATCATTTGGTGGAAATGATGTGCAAAGCACATTTGGACAGCTCAGTAAGCACAGGTGAGATGTTGGACTGCGCTGCCAGGAGCCAGGGGGTGAGCCTGCGAGAGCAGGCACTGCAGAGGATAATCTGCCAAGAAATCCCACAAATATGGGATGGTCTGGAGGTTTAAGGGGCAAGTATATTTGTCCCATCTTCATTGTTGTATTCCAGGATGCGAATTAGAGCTGCAGCCACAGGAGGTTCTGGCTCTCTGCTCTCCCTGAGTGCAGCCTCGCTGTCTATGGGGCCAGCCCAGCCAAAAAGCCACAGCCAAACCAGGGTATGCACCTGATAAGCAGCAGTGTTACCTCCTCAGGGCTCTGCAGTTCTCTGGGGCTTGTACAGGCAGTTTTTGCAGAGGTTTCAGATTTGGCGGGGTCATAGCCTCCAGATTTGACCTTTTTAAAGTTAAGAAACAATCAAACAAAGCTGCATGAGAAAGCAGCTGGAAGAGCCAGCAGTGTTATTAAGCTGCAGTGTCAGGTTATTTGTCTTTGCCATCCTATACACAAGCTGCAGGC